TGAGCGTTTTCACTGTCGCTTTCCAATATAATTGTAAGAATGAAGTGATAACGATCTAAAAGCTGCAGGCACGGAAATTTCGGCGGCAATTCCTTCGGCGTGTCTTATGGTCAGCAGTCGTGTAGCCGAATTGCGTTAGCTCGCCGCAGTCTTTCCGCTCATTCCTCGTGCGCATACACAGAGCAGACACACCTCGGAGGCGCAACTCCTTCCGGACGCGAGAGCGATGCGAGTCTTGCGAGATGACCCAGCAGGGCGCGTTGAATGGCCCTCTAAAAGAGCGCCCATCGCAATAAATTCGCGCCGCCGACGTGCAAACCGCCTCTGCAGTTCCCGCGAGACCGCGACAGTTTTATTTCGCCGAGCTGACGGATGCACTGCGCGAGGACGCAACGGCGATGGACGTAGACGCGGTTTGCGAGGAAGTTTTTTTTTTTTTTCAGTCACGGCTGCGCTAAAACGCAAGTGGCCGCCATAACATGCACCTGCAGCGGGCAATTGTTTCTCGCAGAAATTGGCCAGCAGCGCTCGCGCTCGGGCGCCCAAAACGACTCCGGCCCAGAAATGGAACGCCGAATAAACGGCCGCTAGATGGCCATTGCGCACGCGACTGAGCGGGGTAAAGCTCGAGTGAGCACTACTCGCGGAACTCTACGTTGGAATTTAAGCTGCGCTTATAAATGAATTCTTCGTCCGTGAATGTGCTCCCCCTCACTTCAAAGCGCAGAGCGGAACGGCGACGACTATTCACGGAATACGAAAACTGCAGTACGCAAATAAATGATGCAACTCATCACTTTACGGCCAAACACCATTGATGAGAGGCACGGAAAAAAATTTGGGGGCATCGAAGACATCCCTACATTGTGTTCATTGTTTCATTTTTTGGATTGATGCAATAATCGAAACATGTACGAGCGTAGCAACTGCGTCGCCCTGAAACCCATCTACCAGACAAGGCCGGTAAATATATTCCAGCAGCAACAACGGAACAGAGCGCAAAAGTGGCAAAGCGGTGTGCAGGAAATTTACGGAAAACAGCGAGTCCTAACAAAAAAAAAAGTTTTATATCACTGCTTTCATTTCAATTCCAAAGCTGGAAAGGGAACAAGCGCCGTTGACCCATGGCTTCGCGCTTAGCGACCTGATCGCACGGGAGGCCTTCAGGAAGACCCATAACGAAGCGCAGAAAAATAGTTGTCTGGTAGCATTGGTTAGGAGCAAGCAGGGACATTTTATTTGAATTTTGTTACTGAACAGCCATGCACTTTCCTACACTTCTCGAACGCTAGTGCACCTCGTTTTTACTTTTCAAATAATCTAAGACATTGCAGTACCCATGGTGTTATAAAACTTGCGTGTTGTCTTTTATGCAGTCAGTTCCGACAGTTTATTAGAGCGAAGTCTACGTTACTCCGAGTTATAAACGCACTACAACGTAAAAATATACACCAAATGTAGTCACTGGCACACGTAATGCTCGCTGCCTGTAGTAGAAAAGACATCATGGAGCAAATAAATGCTGCCATGTATACAGAACAGCAAACGAAGGCTGGAAGATCGCCAACGGAAAGTTACAAAACACAAAATTATTATACCCCAGAGGGAACAATGTAGGAGGACAATGAATTGAAAGCTCCTTCGTACAAACTATACAAAGCATTCACAACGCCGATAAGCATATATGTGGTATCGGCAGTCGCTTGGATTACGAGGGTATAACAAGCAGCCATGCGTGCAATAGTCGCGGACCCGACCAATCAGAACCCACTGTGCGCGCGTGTCTGTGTGTGTGTGTGTGTGTGTGTGTGTGTGTGTGTGTGTGTGTGTGTGAGAGAGAGAGAGAGAGAGAGAGAGAGAGACAGAGAGACTCGTCAAAATCGGAACCCAGCTCGTGCCACGCAACAGTGCAGAATCAGGAGTGTTCAGCAAGGCTCCATCGATAAAAACACAGCACTAGTTTAAACGCCGACAAATAAGCAGCACGCGAGGTCGAGCGCCTTGCATAAATTAGCGTTTTTTGTCGACAGATATAGTAGTAGTAGTAGACAACTTTATTAAGGCAGCTGATGGTTTCCTAAGTGGCGAGGGCTTCGTCGATTCGACGCGATCATCGCTTCTGCCAGGCGCATGCACACGGATCTCCCATTGATCCGAGAACCACAGCAGAGAATTTCTCGGACTGTCTCTCCACAGTTACGTCCGACTGAGCGGATGCACACGCATGCCTGCAGGCATGAGAAACGCCCGGCAGTTGCTCGTAATGCCAAGTGACGTAGACATTAAAGCTGCTTAGTCCGTCCGCTATTCCGCAATCGCACATGATGGCAGTTGCCGCCATTTGACGTGGCAGCGGCTATGGAGGATCGAAAACAACAAACCTGTCATGAGCGTCCCCCGAGATTTCTGGGTCACCCACCACCGCTCGCGTCGATCATTTGAATACGGCCCCATGAAAACGGTGCACGCCGACGGATATAGCTTAGAGAAACGTTTTCTTCATCGGAAGTAACAGTTCGAAGTTAGCGCTAGTCCGTGCTCTTCGTATGCCCGTGTGTCACTTAGCGACTGCAAAATTTTCCTTCGGGCACAACGAACACTTTGATAAGGACTTGAATATAAAGCAAATAATATCGTCAGTTCAGAGCTAACGAGGTACAGAGCTCACGAGGGCCACTTGATAGATTCGAGATTGATGTCAACCATTTCCGGCGGCGCAGCCATGTATTGCGCTAAGGTTGCATGGCGGGCTTGTTGGTTTTCCATAGTATCTGGGGTATAGCGCATCCAGGACGAAACAGTGTATTTGTGTTATGGGACTTAGTTTCTTCCCGTCGTGGGTGCGCTATGCCTCAGATACTATGTATTCAGGGCGCGCAAGCGCCATTCATTCATTCATTCATTCATTCAACTATTCATTCATTCATTCATTCATTCATTCAATCAATCATTCATACATTCATTCATTCATTCTTTGTATATTCCAGAATCTGCAAAATATTACATTCTGCGTGGTCTCCTGGGCTGTCCAACCATTCGATTAGGGCCCAGGAGACTAAATACATGGCAAACGAAGTGACAGATGAAAAAAAAAAACACAAAATTTACAAAAAAATTATATATAAACAAACAATGAAATACCCATAGGAAGCGTCATGGGTACATCAGAGGTGCACTTCACGCCTAATGTTGCTGGATACGCAAAGTATTTTGCGGGTAGCAGTGTGGCTAAAGTGTGGCAGATACCGAAACACACGCAACCCAGCATTTCTGTTTTCCTGTGCTGCCCTCTGCCGTTTTGTTAAAGTTCTCGGTAGGGGCCGGGACAGCCGGTATTGGCAGAAGGAAAGCCTGCGAGGCGAACAACTGTTGCGCAGAAAGGGCGTGCATACACTTCGCCTCGCGAGACGTTTAGGAGCAGGCTCATGGCTTGTTGCGGGTGGCCCCTATCTTTGAGAAAAAGAGCAGCATGCGCCACGGGGAGTCTGCCAGCAGTGGGACGCGCGCTAATGGCCAAGCATATCGAGAGGGCCACTGCGGTGCGAGTCGCGGTTGGCCGCAGTCGCCGAAATTTCCAAGCAAGCGCGCACGGGAGGAGTCGCTCCCCGCGAGCACCGGCGCGGGGCGAAAAGAGACGCCTGAGCCACTAATCACTCGCCTCGTTGCCGCGCTGCTCGCGAGTCCAACTGGCTGCCTGATGGCATCTCCATCTAAACGAGATGAGCAAGCACGTGCGGAAGGTGCTCTGCGGTTAACGAGCATGCTCGTTCAAGAGGTGCTCCACCAGGGTGAAAAGACTCAGACGCCATTCCTTTTGAAGATCCTTCGACTTGTCGAGCTTCCTTTCTATCATTTACTACAATTTCTCTCAGTTGGCGAGACGCACATAGGGGGGTTGCCACAATATAGCGGCAGTGCTGATCGCTTGTTGCGGCTTGTAGTTGCTTGCGACGTGTCACTAAAGCGACACGTCGCAAGCAGGTACGCATAACGCCAGTTATAGCGCATGAGGCTGAAACATGGGAGCTATAACAAAGCAGCAAAGCCTCTGAACACGTAGAATATAATGTTACAAACAATTATGGGTCGGTAAGGGAGTTGCAGATATCTTATAGTTGACATCAATCAAAAGAAATGCACTTTGGCTGGCTACGTATTGTGTAGAACGAACACGCTTTCGACAGTAAGAGCTGTACAAATTGGTGGTTAGAGATGGGAAACGCAGTCGGGGAAGACAGGTGGAATGGCGGAATCAAGAAGCTCACGCAGAATCATTGGTACATGCACTGGTCCTGCAGTGGACTAGCACATCAGGCTGACAATGTTGATTGGACTAGCACATCAGGCTGACAATGCTGATTTCATCTCGTACAACACAGCTGACCAACCAGCATATGTTCTGGTGCTGCGGCTGCCTCTGCCGACGCACCATAGAAAACGGATTGAGCCACCCGTCAATAATTTTCCACGGGTCTGCAACGTAATTTCATATGAAACGCAAGACGAAGGCGGTCTCCCGGCGGAGCACTCAAGACGCTCGGTGGATTTTTTCGTAGCCGACAGTTGTCCCCTCCTTGGTGTCCTCTTTTCGACGACCACTTCGGTCACAATCTGTTACTTTCCTCTCAATCTTTACTTCACTTTCAGTATCTTGTAATCCATACATTCCCTTGTGAACCGCTGCTGAGGAGTCGCGCTTCGCTGTAGTTGCGGGCTCCACTTCTCATTTTTTCCTCATATAAAATAGTGCTCGTCGAGCGATACCCAGCCTTCAGGCACAATCACATCCTACTGTGTAGCGCTACATCGTAGCTGAAATTACACGGTTCTCTAGAAGCAGCACGAGTTTGTTGTTCGACGGTGAGCTTCACGACGCGTTAATTTCGCGAGTCGTCATTTCCGTCGTCCGTGCATTGCGAATCAAGGACGCCAAACTCTCAGTCTTCCTAATGAGGTGCACGGCATGTAAAAGCAACAGAAAACTCGTGCTGTGTACTTACAGCATCCAGGGCCGTCCTGCTGGCATCACCTCGCGACCAGCATGGGTCGTCGATCTGCGCCGAAAGAAATAAGAACAGCCACGTTAAGCCGACACTCCCGTCATAAGGTGTACAAGAACATCCCTTGTCATATGTCAAGACGGCACTTGGCAAAATGCTGCGCCCGATTCCACGCCAACAAGTGACTCATTTCAGTCACACCGGAATGGACATCCGAAATCGACGCGAAAGATATGTCACTCTCGTCCGTCAAATCGCGCTAAGTAGCAAAACATACAGCGTGCGCCGGTGAGACACTCAAGTGACAAAACCTCCGCTGCACAAATGCGTGTACGTATGCCGTCAAGCCTAACACGAACGCCCCCACGCGTGATTTGGACTACTTTGGTGGCAGCCGCGAAGCACTCAGCGCGATTGTCGAGAAATACCTCGGTGTGCATGGTAGGTCGGCATGCGGAACCTGAAGCTGCGCGCCGCTAGCTTATATCAGACCCTTTCAGCACACCCTGCGGTGCGTTCGTGTTAAGTTTGCTGACGACTTTTCATTTATCGCACTCAAAACATGTTGAAGAAATTCGTAAAAAATGGGTTGTTGGCTTGACCCTACCATCAAGGGTCCCACGAAACACAAGAAAAGCTAGAACACTTCTAGTAAATGTCCAAAAAGGATAGTCCAAAAGTATATGAGAAGCCTAGTTGACATGTGATTTAAACCTAAGCAGCTTGGAAACCTCCTGTAGCTGTGCTAACGCCACGTTATTATACGGCTAGAAAACTTCTAGCAAGAATTCTAAAGAAAAAACGTTTTTCTATATTGTTTAAAGAACCTTTGTAAATGTTTACTATACTTATATTATTAGAAGCCTGGTAAACTTCTTGCCAAGATTCTAAAAAGACTTTTGATAGATCTTTTAACACCTTTTTAGACATTTATTTTTCATGCAAACTGGCTTATTGAGTGTTTCCCATGGTTAATTTGTTGCATTATGTCAGCATTTTACAATCGGTGCATTTAGCTGTTCACTGTTGAGAATGACAAGTAGGGACAGCAACATAATTTGGCATCAAATAATTGCTGGCACTATCCTAATCAGCAAATTTGTGCCATACTTGTTAAAAGAATGAATTAGTGACTGCCGTCTATTATTACAATAATCTGTTTTGCTTGGAGGCAAGACGGGCTTTCAAACGAACACTCATTATTGTTTCTTGTATTGCCTGGAATGCATCATACTGCACATCCAAAAGTAAATGTGAAATTTCAACAAATCTTGTAGCATACTTGTAACCTTTATTATACATAACAATGACTGCACACTGTCTCTCATAACTTGCATGCCTTATAGTAACTATAAATATACAACCTTGAGGAAGCAACTCTTTTTTACGGATTTTTCTTCTGAAGTTTCGCTCTTTCCTTCCTGGCGTTTTTCAAAACGTACTCGACACACACGAGCGGTGTGTCACTTATGTCGTCCGTGTTCCTCGCACCGGGAAACATCGACCTGTCCAGCACCACGTTGGCCAACGCTCAATAGGGGCTTTTAGGTTGTACGTATACTTCTTTACGCTACCGTGTTTCCGGATACCGGATAAAATATGTGCATGCGTGGGTCTTTACGGAACGTAAACTACCCGCCGGATAGGCTTTACGTTTGCGGCGCTATCTCAAAAATCTATCTTTGTTCGTAGGAAGCCGCGGTATCCGCATTGCGGAGACTCGAGCCATCGAGTCAAAATAAGCCAAATTGCGAGCGCCAATAGCGATGACACTGCTTCAGCCGGTTTACCAAAACAAGAATAGCCTAGAACATCGACCGTCGACGCCATACACGTGCAAGCCCTCGACCGGCTGCATGGGTACCCTAATTAATTAGGTAATCACAAAATTGTTACTGCAGAAACATCGTACATTAAAAGTTTGGCGTAAAGACTGCGCAACGGCGGTATTACGAATGGGTTACATTTTTAGTAATTTTCACCTCAAAAACATTACCTGTGAACCAACGTGTTCATGACTGTGGTTGCACGAAGTGTAACAAGATGTCGACGCCATCGTTGCAGTAACCTTGTTTTTTTTTCCTCTATGCGCATACGAGAATACAGTACGCAATAAAAAAATGAAAAAAAAACGTCTAGTGATAATGCCGCTAGATGTCATTCAAGTTAAATGCAGTTTAAATGTAGTTAGTATCATTTATGATTTGCGATAACGTAAGGTACACGCGTTTAGGTACGTATACGTTTACGTACAAGGAGCTAAAACGCTGAAAAAACATGCGTTCCGGTAAGAGGGTGAACGCTAACCGGTATCCGGTAGCAGGTTAACGTAAGGAAGTATACGTACAAGCTAAAAGCCCCTAATGTTAGTGGCCGACGTGTGCGTGTACATAATAGTTTATATACGCAGAACACATGAACGCTTCGAAAAACTATGGCAAGTCGATCACAATCAGTGAAGCATAAAAGCGGACTTTCAGGCCTATAGCGGTCTTTTTATCTATGAGAACTCACCACCCTCTAAAATTAGGAAACATTTTTCGCAGAACAAACATTTACCAGTCCTCATCTTTTCCGCTCACAATCTCCCAGTGGATTCGGCTTCCGCAGGAGACTGCCGCACTGAAGCACCTTTCAGCGATATATTGCTGAAAGGTGCTTTTTGTTATGTAAAGCGGCATTTTTGTTATGATATGTTTTTGTGTTCATTTTGGTATCGAATAGTTCTTTTTATGTAAGCGTACGTTATGCTGTGTATTTCCCCCTGCAACAATGCCCTCGGGCGCTGCCGGTATTTTCAAATAAATAAATAAATAGACAAATAAATAAATAGGTAAGGTCGTGTCTCAAAGTAGAGCAGCCCTTTTCTTTATCATCGCACTAAATGTTGGGCTAGGTGGCTCTACATGTGCACAATGTAGATGCGCTGTGAAAACGCGGACAGAGATGAGACGTGACACACACAGCGCTACTTTCAACTTGCTTATTGGAGAAAGGGTGGGGCATCGCATGCAACAATAGAAAAACATAGAAATCGGACGCGCCCGGCACGAATTAAGTTTAAAAATAACTCTGCGCTGACACATATTTGCTGCGAAAACTGAAATCAGTCATCAACTGCCGGAAGGAAAAACAAGAGTACACTGCCCGAGCAAAAAAAAAAAAAATTCATCGCAGTTAATTATAAGCAGCAACAAAAGGCTCATTTCGCACCGTGGATCTGAACAGACGGCTGCTTCTCGAAGTAAAACTGCATTACCCGGAAACAATATCTCAGAATGACCGAGAGAGCTGCTTATCAAAAGCATTGATCGACTGTTCAAATGATATAAAATATTAACAATAATAAAGCATCCCGCTACTGCGAGTGCTCCAGCAGCTTACAAACACGGAAGGGTGAACAAGAAAAAAATTAGGATCGCCACACTTTGTTTTTTTTTTCTTCCGTAAAAGCACTTTTTCGCGTTTCTTTTTTTCTTTCTTTGGCTTGAGCTTCCAGACGCTAAGTCAACGTGGCTAGAGCTTTGCCGAATGTTTGTTTCATCAAAGCATGTGTATTACGTCATCAGCACGCTGACTTGAAAAAAAAAAGATATACAACGTATAAAGTGGCAATCCAAACTAGAACTGTTTGGTCATTACTTTTCAGCATTTATGTTTAAGGTGGCCTGTAGTCCTAGGACATGAAAAAAAAAAGAGGAGGGGGGAGCGTCGGCGGACAAGATTTGAGAGCTCACGGATTTCCGCTAATGCCCGAAGGGTAGAGCGGAGGGGAAGCCCTTTCGTCCGAAGTAACAGACAAGAAGCGGTGGGACAAAAGTCGACGGAAACACTAAGTGACCCCATTTTCGGCAATCCTCGCGGGAAATCAGCCGAGAAAAGTATCTCTTCGAGTGCAGGGGATGCGAGAGCTTCGCGCTGCATTGCACCTTTTAAATCCTTCACGCCGGTGCACGAGATTTCTCATCCTCTCGCTTGTTCTATTACAAACCGCAGCTGTCATTTCTTTTGGCATTCCCTCTCGGAGCGGTTCTTTTTTGTCCTCTGCAGCGATGCCGGTCTGTTAAGCCGCGGAGAAAACTGCTCCCTATCAGCAGAACCTCGTTGATACGCACCGGTTTCGTACAATTTCCCGATGCCGACCTTCACGTCATTGCTATCAAGCGAAACTGCGAAATTCTTTGGTGAATCAGGGCGGTACGTTTTCTCGGAGAGTACGTTTCTCCCGTCTTTGTTTGTTTCCTTTTTTTCTTTTTGTTCTTAGTTTCAAGAACTTATGAACGAGGTTTGACTGTATTCAGCGCTCCTCATGAGTGAATTTTAGTGAAATCGCACGTTAAGCAACATTAACACGCTTCTTAATTATTGCACAATCTGAGCAGCCAGGACTTCGCAACTTAATCCCAGAAAAAAAAAGAGCTCGCACAGAATATCGCTCGTCTTCCAGACTTGCACGACCACATTTGTAGACGGAAAACAGAACTTGCGTTCCAGCGAGAAAGAGAGAAGGGGACGGGCCCATTAGAGAACACCTCGGCCAAGCTGTAGAATTGGCGACTATCGAGCGGAGGATCGTTTAGCCGACTAGGCGAGATTGATGAGATTCGCGAGTTCTGCCACCACCGACGACCGCACTTCGGAACAGGGAATAAACCTCAAATCCCGCTGCCAAATGCGGCTCATCAATCGGTTTGAAGCCACTGCCAGGGGAGGCAGACACCAATAAGGCCCCTCATTTGTCGCGCGCAGTTTCTAACAAAGTCTACAGGTGGAGTGCTCCGCGGGAGCTTCTCCTTGTGACGTCACTTACCTCGTCTCCCAGAGTGAGCCAATATTCAACATGGACGGTGAAGGTACAAAGTCCGAGGCACTGCGCCGAACGAAGTGAAAATTTAAAAGACGCGCAGGAAAGGATGCGGCGCCTAGGATTTTCTACACTTTCCCTGCGTACCACCTCGACCAGACGGTCGTCCGTCTAACTTCGTGGAAAAATTCTGAGTGCAAAATCAAGACGATTCAGAAGACGACAAAGCAAAGGCGGGCGCTACATTAAT